ATACATTTGCACCACCTGGTGCTTAAGTACTCGATTATCGCTGGATCGCTTCCAGCACTACCTATTACCATCCCAACCACATCGGCTGATCTTGGTCTCGTCCGAAAAAATTTTTTCCCATTCAGAAATTGACCAATTTTCGTACTTCTTCCAAAACTCCAATCCTAGTCGCTTTAACGGTCTGTCAAAGTGGGTTTAATTAATCTATATTTCGAATGAAGACCAGCAGAATGGATTGCTTTTGATTCGGTCGATCTTGAGACTGGTCTATCTAATGTTGTTTCTATAATTTTTAAAGCTTTTTTCTGTACAGACTCAATTGCACCCAATGTCACCTTGTCGTACAACTCGAGCTACACCCCGGTTTTTCGAGATCTTTGGATGCCCAGTTTCACTGCACGACGATTTGGACCACATTGAGCTTTAATCCGGGATATTGTGGCCTTACTGACACACATTCACGAGCGATCTCAGTATAAGACTTGCCTTAATCCAAGAGACATTTTACATCATTTCTTTATCGATTGAAAGTTTTTTTACGCATTATTAAATTAAGCTCTCTAAATAAGCTATCCTTTATAGTCACTTACACGATTTAACCCCTCCCCCATGGTGGAGTGACCATGAAAAGTTCTTAACGTTCTTACAATTTGAAACAAATTTGCACGTGATCCCTCTCCGTGCAAAATTGCTTCAATCGATACTTAAACTTTAATAAGCGATAAAGACTTGAGTAAGAAAGCAATCCCCTAATATAAACTACATGAAATAGATCTCAATCTAAACTTATATATATATAAGGGACCAATATAGCCAATTAATTAAAGCGTTATAGAATTTTTACGAAGAAATTTAAACATAAACAATTTTGACGATGGTGTACCTGAATCACTTCTTTTTGCTATAGTATTTAATGAAAGTTTTTAAGACTTCTTATGCCGTTCGGATTTTACTGACATTATGCATCCCTTTTATTAATTAACATTCTTACCCGTATCGCGAAAGTTTTTACAATATGAAAGATTTGCTTGAACATTTGGGAATAATAAAAGCTTCTTTGTTATGAAGGCTTCCTGCTCCGGGTGGCTATCACAATTTTGGTTAGATTTTTTACTAACTCCTTGACCGTTTACAATCCTGCCCATACTTCGAACTTCGAAAAATTTGGGCAAATGGCCCCTGAATTTAATATAACATCATTCGTTCGCAGATTCTTAGACTTTTTATTAAAACTTTCCTAGTAAGGGGCGAAGAGACAGAATTCCACAGTTGAAGCCTGCTTGACTTTCACTTGTGGCACACTTGTAGGTGCGAGGGGCATTTAGTCTAGTGTGGCACTGTATTTCGAAGTGCCCAAGTTTTTCGAGCTAAAGACACTCCACGCCTTTAAAATAATATTTATCTTCCATGTTGCTAGGGTTCAGTATTTAAGCGCAAGGTAACAGTCTTTTAGCATACTAATTTAATTTTTTTAGCTTGTTCAGGAGCCTCTGTAGTAGGTTGCTTGTTTCTTCTACTATCCAGTTAGCTAAACCTTGGAGCTTATAACGTAGTAAAAATGAAAAACTTGCCCAAGTAGAATATTTTGTAAGGAACGAGAGTGCTCTCCATATATAATATAAACTTTACGTTTTTTATTATAACATTTTGTCTGAAATATTTTATTTCCTGCCCCAATAATTATGTTCACACTTTGGTGCATATCAGAATCCGGAATTCTTCTGTCGTCGGCTTATTGGCGCTAATAACCCCCTTATTGGTCGGTTGGGAGGACTAGGGGCTTGCCAACCCGTTGAAGGTCAGCAGTAAAGAAAGGGAAGTTTAACAGGTTTAACACGTAGGCCATTATACTGGGATTTAGAGTTGACGTAGCTCAGCGGATAAGAGCCTTGAAGCACGCTAACTCAAGGTCGTGGGTTCGTTTCCTACTGACGCAACTCTCTTTTTTTGTCTTTAGTGGTGGCGTATATAACATCGCCCTAATAAAATTCTAATAATGTGCGCCTCTTAGTAAAAAATAGAGCTTCGCTTCGCTCACGCCTGCGTTTATAGTTGTTGCGCATTAGGGGCATCAGTTGGCGACTAGATCGCTCTGCCAACGCTGATTTAGTACAGCGGTCGTTTTGACGGTAAATAACTTGTCTTGTCGTCTGCGTTGAAGGCTACCCGTGCAAGGATCGCCTGGCTAAAGCACGTCGCTTATCAAGAACTCGTAAAGCAGGGGTGAGAGGAGAGATCTTAAAGGTCCTCTGAAACTTGTTTTTAAAAACAACTGTGCCTCTTACATCCGTGTGCTAAAGTAACAAAAAAGTATTAGCTCGCAAGTGTATTTAGTCGATTGGGTAACTGAAATTTTGATTTACTTTTTACGGGATAAATGGTTTTTAAGGTTTCTTCCAATTATTGTGTCAATTATAAAATTTTTGTATATGTAATATAGTTTGCAATGAAAATAGGACACAACATATATGTGGTTGATGCTAATTGTGGGGTACGTAGAAGTTTACGATGTACGGAAATTTGAAGATTAAGTTGCCAAGAAAACGACATAAATTATATGTATAAAAACCTGGTATTAATTTTTAACCATGATAGGATGCGTTACAAGCCAAGAAGGCTCTTTTATTATTCAAAAGTTAAAGCACTACTGAGTAGCTTCTGTTATTATAACGCCACCTTTAAAAAAAGAGCACTAACGTTCTAAAGTTTCAATAACTCATTTCACTGATATTAATCTTTAACATTTTTTAGATACAGACTTTGAAGAAGTATAAGCGCTCATCACACTTAAAATTCATTACTTTCTTTCAGTTCTGTATAGCATAACTAATGCGTTTCATACTCGAGCTTAAAAAAAAATTATGATAGAACCTACCGGACTAACTACTTGTGCAATTATCAAAGTAGGGTTATAAAGGAAATTTTTTTTTAAATTTTCATGATAGAAGAAACTCCCTGAAGAACTCATAAAATGAATTTGACCGCTGCCATGTTGCTTTTGAGAAGGTGTACCTTTTCGTATTTTGGTTATACAAAATATCAACTGTATAAAGCTCTTACGTAATATAATTGTTGTCATAAAAAAATTCAAGTTTAAAAGACGAGATGGAATTAAGTTAACAGGCTTAAAACGTTTATTGCTTCACCGGAGAAGTTATTACCGTAGTTCAGTAGCCGGATATATGACGTGTAAGAAAGTTGAAACTCTCCAGACGTAAGTTTTTTTTGTCTTCGTTGCTCGCTTCGAAAATATTTAATACCTCATACTCTGAAAGAAAAGGAAGTATTTATAAGGTTATAGTTAAAGCAACTTATCAAAATAACGTATTAGTGTTTTTGCTCAAACTTTAAATAAAGATTAAATAACCTTTGACACCCGAAGCTGATGCACAACAATCCATCGCAACTCAAGTTTATACTAAAGATTATGATAAAACTGTAACGTTAACCCCCTAGTCATTATGCAAAAATGGTTAGGCGGTCATTAAAACTGCCATAATATAATACAAGAATTATTCTACACTAAACCGTTACGATAAGATTTGGAGAGAGACGTGTTAAAGTCATAATGCATATTATCCTAGGTTTAATTAATATCACTTTAACTGAACTAACTTTTAGTTAATTTTCATTATAGCTCCGTACTCCAACTTCTGAAAAAAATTTTCCAATACCATATACCAAAATATTTAGTAGGCCGTTTTATTATTTATTCATTGTTCCCTGTCATCAGCTAGTACTAATTTTTGCAATGTAGTTTATTCAATTCGTATAGTAAAAGGAACGGTTATCCTTGTTAAAGTGTATAAAAAAGACTGAAATGCGAATTGGCTTGTATATTAATTTTTTAATACACAAAAAATTATTTTATAAGGCTTAAACTTATTATGAAGTATAAATTTATGATGAACGGCATGAATAGTTTGGAATTACAATTATCGGTATGACTCTAAGTAATATTGCAATGAAAGTTTCTCTGGGTTAAAAAATATTATCAGCTAATATTTTATATATAATAACTTACTTTATTGTAATGATTGTGAACTTAATGCTCGTTGCTTACTCGACATTTTAAACCTTACCTGCTTAATTTATGAGTCTATTAAAAAAAATTGGAATATTATGTTAGCTCTGAGAAACTTGTATTTAAACACATTTATCATAACACCTATTCATAGTATTTAGTTAATCGTTTATTAAACAATTAAAATTTTAAGGCAGCTTATACATCTTTGCCATCAAACAAAATTTTTTTTAACTTCATATATTTTTTTTCCTTCTTTGAGTTATTAAAAATCTCTTCAGCCGCATAAAATTAAAGTATTACGTTTAAGTTGTTGTTCGGGGGGTTAATTATTTCGTTTAATAAAAGCATACTTTTTCGATTGGCATAAGTTAACTTAATTAACATTAATCTTATATATTAATTATAATTAACAATTAAATATTTTTTACAACACAAATTAGTACAGAATTACAACTTACTGAGAATTTCTAATAAAGAAACCTTGATTTACTTTTTCATAAATGATTGGGTGTTAATTTCGATATTTTTAATTCGATTAGCTATTTTATTAAAAATATAATATTATTTACTAAATAAAGTAAAGTCTATTCTTAATTTTCTACTCCATCCAGTGAAGAAATCACATGACTGCTAATGCAAGTTTTTGCGATCATACACGGAGCGGGCGCGGGTGCCCTAGTTTATCTCTCTTTCGATATATATAACTACTAGTTAGAGTTTATTGTTACCTTTATATTCTTACTTGGTTTTTTTTACCTTTTTTACCATTATTTATAAGACTAATATATTTTTAAAAAATGACGGCCACCCAAACTTTGACCCATTTAAATAGTGATATCATAAAGACTTTGTCTTTAGATTTGATTTCAACTTCTAAAACTACAAAAAGCCAATCTTTCCAAGTTAACAATATAAATTTATCTAAAAATATAAATATTGTTGATGAAAAAGTACGAGCTGCTCTAAAATATCAAGTGGAATTTTACTTTTCACCTGGAAATTTATCGCGAGACGTGTATTTAAAAAGTCATATGGATTCTGAATTTTATGTCAGTGTAGATATAATTTCACAGTTTAAAAAGGTTATTAATATATATATATTACATTCTCTATCCTACTTAGTAATTTTTTTTTTTTCAGGTGCAAGAATTAACTCAAGATCCAGATTTTATTCTTGAAGCGCTCAAAGATTCTTTAGTTATTCAAGTCGATTTAGTTAATAGAAAGATTAGAGCATCAGGCTCAAGGACAACGTTGATCCTTCGGGATATCTCTCCTGATATTACGGTTTTACTTTTAACACTTTAAAAGTTGCTTTAGTATTCGTAAATGTACTCTCTAATTTTTATTATAATTTTATTATAATTTTAGTAGTACTTTTGTATTTATTATTTTATGCTATTTTATTATTCTCGATATTTATATACCTATTTTTTGTTGGGCTTTAGTTGTATGTAAGAAAGTAAGTTATTAAGCGTTTCTCCTCTTTTTTGAACTAATTTAGTTTAGCGGAAGGTTGAGTTTTCTCCAAGTTTATAAGGAAATTTTTGATGTAATTAAATGTTTAGTTAAAAAATTTAATAAATTTTTAAATATGTCAAGGAAGAAGAAATTACACAACTCTTTGATGCTGAATTGAAGCCGTTGTCTTTAAGAAGAGACGTCAATAATGTATGGTTCGCCCATTTCGAAGATGAGAATCGTACGAAGCAGGCATATTTACTTATTAGAGAAAAAAAGCTAAAAGTATTATTAATTATGCTATCTTGATATTGATGTATACTTTAATTTTATAACTAGCGTTATTATTTCTAATAAATATGAGTAAATCTTTAAGTAATTTTTTTAATTATTATTTTTATATTATAAAATATTATTATTAATATTAGGGCCAGTCAGTCAAAGTTAGAATAAAATCAGGACAAACCACAAAAGCGTTTGTTTCTCTTTTATATGAAATTCAAATATCCTTTTTTGCGTTGCACTTCATGATTTTTATTTTTATTCTTACTTAATATTAGTTTTAGTGAAGCACATGCTATTAGCCAGCCCAGACCGCCTACTCGCTACGAGCAAGTGGCAGCGCCTTACTTTCCATATTATTGTTACGACTATTATTCGTCGCAATATGTAGAATCAAAGCAAACTGTTTTAGTAAATTGTTATAACGATAGAAATGGTTATTTTTATTCGTTGTATTATTATTGTTTTTATTACTATTATTGTTATTATTATTAAAAGAGTTTCTGAAGAAGAAAAATAATTTTTCCCCAGACACTAAAAAAAAGGGGGTTAAACAAAGGAAGTCCGCTGGGCAAACCCGCCGACGTCGTTTTTTTTCTAACGGATCTTCGCGTGAAAAGAAGCCAAAGCAATACATGAAGCCTCCAAGTTTATATTATTTTTTTATTTATTTATAATTAATATTATAATTCTTTGTTATTATTATATCTTATTATTGCCATTATTATAGTATTAGTATTATTTTTTATTTATATAGCCGATGATTCTACAAACTTTCCTCCTCTGTTAAACCTAACTTCTCCCAATTTGACTTGGGATGGTTGCTATTACCTCTTTGCTACTTCCCTCATCTTATTAATTTTAATTGGCTAATTTATATTATCTGTTTTTTCACCCTTTTTATCGGTTAACTAATTTTTATTATTTAGTTGAACTTTGCACTGATAATAATGAGGCCTTTTCGAAAGAGCCTTCTGATAATGAAACAAATACGTAATAGTTAATAATAATAAATTATTTATATTAATTTAAAAATTTTATTATAATACATAGAAACTTATTTGCTTATTACTTTTATTAAAAACCTTTATGATTTTTTTTTGTTACATATTAGAATATCCTTGGAAGTGAAGTCTAATGTAAACCAATTAGAACAAGCGCTTTTTAACGGCCACATGGCCAAGCCTGGGGCCATGAGTTTTGCTCAAATAGTTGCTACACCCAGGCCGGTTTGCATCTGCTATATATATTTCATGTACTTTTTGTTATTTAAATTTTTTAAGAGTTCCAACCAAGATAGTTCGGTTGACAAATTAGAGAATAATGAGAAAACTGTAGCTAATGCTATGGATAATGAAAATGTTGATAATAATAATGAAAATAATAATAGTTATAATAATGGTAATGGTAATAATAGTAATTATAAACACAGAAAAAGTAAAAAAGGTAATAGAAAAAATAACAATCATAATAGCAACATAAGAAATAGTTTTGAGAGATCTAAAAATAATAACCCAGGTGATTACGATAATATTAATAATAAATATTGTAATAATTATAGAAAGAAATAATTATTGTGGGAAATTTCACGTGGTTTTTTTTACATTTAATTAATTCGGAAATCTTTGTATATTATTAGAATAGCTTTGAATAAAAATGTTGCTTTGATTCCTTTTTTACTATGTATTGTTCATATGGCAGATATTTAAGTTTTATAAGAATACACCTTTTTTTGCTAATCGTTACTCTTTTGGGCTTCTGCTTGAGTTATAAAAAGTATACCAAAAGTAAATTTACTAATCATCGTAGAAATTTTAAACTTAAAAAAACCTGAAGTATGCTTTTTTATAATGTTCCTAAACCTAATATTAAAGTTATAACTAAATTAGAAATTTGCTTCCTTATAAACTTTTGATAATGGACAATAAATACTTGAGCGGTACGTCGAAACCTACTGGTAATTATTTAAACCGAAAGGGATAATTCCAAAAATTTTGTTAAAAAAAATCAGGAAGTTATTAGAATTTGTAAAGCAGTAGGAACGATAACTAAATCCCATCGAGACCTATGAAGGGGAATTTTGTTTTTACTAGTACTCTAAAAACTAATGTGTGTAAAGCCCAACACATCTTATATATTAAAGTTATAAAATTGCCCAATATAGTTCACCTCTTCAACATTAAAAAGCAACAGTTTTTTGCAAACAGAATCTCGTTTAGCGACGAAAATAGGGGAACCCAGTTGTTATAATAAGATTAATATATTCTTATTATAGTGATAAAAATCATTCGATGTTATCTGCTTAAAGCTTACTTTCATGGTGAAAATTAAAGTCTACTTTCTTTTTTAATTTAATTTGGAGCGCTGTTGCTCAGTATACTTTTTAATAATTTTAAATTATTATACACAACGTAAGAATTTATCCTAAAAGCTGTTTTTCTAAAGTCTTACCTTAACTATCCAAACAAAAAAAACATTTGTTATTATATTTGAATGCGCCCGAACCAAAATAACTAAAACTTCTGGAGACCGCAACGTTCCAAAGTCGGTGGCTGTAGTAAACTTGTTTTTTTTCCTATTTATTCAACGAAGTGTTTATATAGCCTTTTTATTTAGTGCTATTAACAAGAAAATAATAAAAAGGATCCACTGTGTAAAAACATGCGAAGATATAAGAAAACTTCTAGTGTTTTCTTGTTATACTTAAGAGTTATTTCAACTTTTACTTTTTAAGGACTCTGTGTACGTTAAAGTAGAACTTTTAAACAAATTTAAATATTTGTTATAGCTCGTATGAATACTGTGGGGAGGGGCTCACCCCGGCTCCCCGCATATAAGATTCGTTTAACTAAATTAACACGGTTGTTCCGCCACTTCATAAACTGCCGCGTTTTTCTACTTAACTAATTATACGATTATAAAAAAAAAAGGAATAAACATAAATTTAACTTTTCTTAAAGATCTTAAATGCGAGTTTTTAGTTATAAACAATCTCAGCAATAGCTATTCGGGCGCTAACATTTACTAAAAGGAAGCGGTATCTATATTTGGTTTAATAGAGAATTTCAAATTTTGATTATGCAAAAACTAAAATATTAAAAGATTGCCTTAATATTAGTTCTTTATAAATCGTATAAATTGGTATTATCAAGAAAAGTTATCCTTTACATAAAATATTTATAAACTACTTATAATAATTATAATCAATATGTAAATTAGTAAAAGTAAGTTATTTTAACACTTTGAAGTTTTTACAAATTAAAGTATGCTTGTGAAAGATAGTAGAAACTTTATTCTAAGTTTATTTTTAAATCTTCCAGAATGTAACCGCTGACATTAAAATATCAAATATTTAAAACCGAAAGCATAACAAAAGTTTCTAAAGTATGCTTGTGAAAGATAGTAGAAACTTTATTCTAAGTTTATTTTTAAATCTTCCAGGATGTAACCGCTGACATTAAAATATCAAATATTTAAAACCGAAAGCATAACAAAAGTTTCGTTGAAAAGACTAATATTATGCGAATTATTATAACAAATATAAAATAATTTATTTATAAAAGTTAATATATTGTCACTTAACTTCTGAATAATTTATTCTGTAGTCCATCTTAACAGTAAATAGATATCTCTTTTAAAATCCGAAATTTGATAAATATATATCTTTCTATATATTATAAAAAAGTCGCTAAGTTTGTCTTCGCAGTATAATAAGAAAAAAAGAAAGAAATTATTATATTCAATAGAAATCTTTTTATTAAATTCGAGGACCCAAAAAACTTTTAGAGTAGTAACGATATTTATAATAAAAAACTTTTTAAAAAATTACATATCATCATAATTGTAATAATTAAATTAAAATTCCGTCTTTTTAATTTCAACGGTTAATTATTAGAAGTATGATTCAATCTGCTTAGCTAATAAAAATTTAAAGTTAATAAGTAAATTGTAGTACGCATATACATATAAATTTTTATATTTATTATTTGTTATTATTATTTTTAAGTATAATTATTATTTAAATTTTTCAGTTCATCTTTTTATCATTACTATTTTTTATAAGTAATTTATTATTTTTTATTCGAAATTATATTTTTAAGTATATACCTTATCATAAACTTCGGGAAAAGCATTAAGTGGATCATATTTAAGTTTCATGTTTCTATAATGAGTATGATCAAACATATTTTCAAACTCAGATTTCGTCATGTAACAATAAGCGTAAAGCATTTGAAAACCTGAATTATAATAATAATAGTAATAATAGTAATAATAATGATAATAATAATAATAACCGTTTATTTTTCTAACAAAGTTTTCCACGTTTCTTCCATTAACTTTTGCATCGAAAGTCTTGTTATTTTTTACTTTTCCAGGAATTCCTAATAAAAAAGTACAAAATTTAAAAATAAAAGTTCGCCAATAATTAGTATATATAAATTTATTTTATTTATTATTATTTGTGTTATTTTATAAGTAATATAAATATTATTAACCTTAAATGAGAATACGATAATTATAAACATGTTAAAGAAGAGCATATATAAACATAATAATAATAATAATAATAATAATAATAATAATAATAATAATAATAATAATAATAATAATAATAATAATAATAATAATAATAATAATAATAATAATAATAATAACCATAAGCGCCCAAATCCACGTAAATTGCAAAACTTTTTCCCGAAACATTTTTGGCAGGTTTTTTAAGGAAAAACTGATGCTCTTTTTGAGGAGTGGAGTAGTCGTACAGGCGGAACGGACAGACCCAAATGGGATATATTTCGTAGTTTTCCTCAAGTTTATAATAAAAAAAGTAAATAAAAACTTAATATTTACATAAATATAATAATATTATAATAATATTTTACTACTGAAAATAAAATATTGAATATGCAAAAATAAATACAAATTAACTATTGCTGAAAAACTTTATAAAGTTTAATAAATTTTATTATTATTACTATAATTATACCTGGAAAACTTCAAGAGTGTCCAACACGTGGTCTAAAGGGACTAACATATCTTGGATCACGTGACAACTTTCGTAAAGTTGGCGAATGGCGAGCGTTTCCGTAAGTTTCAAAAGAGAAATTTTTGGAGGGAGGGCCCATCCCAACAAATATCGACTAATAAAAATAAAAATAATAACAATAACAATAATAATTATAATAAATATACAAAAGCGGATGATTTCCGACAGGAATTATCTGCTCGAGCTCCCAAAAAAGAGGCTTTGAGTGTCGGCGGTAGTAATCTTTAACGGGAATGTATCTGTAATATATAAAAAGTTGTTATAAGTATAGAACATTTTATATAATAATAGTTAATAATAATAATAATAATAATAATAATAATAATAATAATAACAATAGTAATAATAACATAAAAAATACTCTTCTACTGGTGCGTTCTGATTAATAAATCCTTCCACGTGTTTATAAAACCACGGTTTGTACCAACGACAAAGTTTATTAACAGGAATCTTTTATTATTATTATTAATTTTTTATGTAAAAATCTACAATAATAATAACAATAATTACTTCCTTACACATTTCTTCTGCCTCTACAAAATCTCCAATTATCAAAACCATTTTATTGCCTTCATAAATGATCCCCTCTAAGAACTGGGGGATCTGAATATAATAATAATATATAATACTACTAATAATATATGATATTAATTACAATAATAATAAAGTAGTAGTAGTAATAATAATAATATAAAATGATAATGATAATTATAATAAAAGTACGCTGCTAGAGTCTAACGATAAGAAGGCTCGAAGACGCTCGATACCGACAGAAAGGCAGTCATATGGAAAATATCTTTTTTTTATTATTATAATTAAAAATATTTTACTTGTTATTATCAGAGTTTTACTACATAATATTAAAATTCTTAATAAACCCATTATATAAAAAAGTGTATATAATTATAATTGTTTCGATATTTATATTAGCTTTTATTAATGTAATTATTATTTATTACTATTTTTTAAAAATTTTATTATTAGTTAGTTTGTTATTTTTTTATTATTATTTCAAACAACTTCTTAATTAATTTCTATATGTACAAAAAGAAATTTTTTTAATTATAATAATACTTTAAATAATTTTTAATATATTACTTATATATTTCTATATATTAACATTACACTATTATAAAAATTATATCGTATACTACTAGTTAAAAATTATTAATTATTCCTATTATAATCATTATTTTTTAGTATAAAATATATCAGTACACTTCTATAATTATTGCCTTTTAACTTTTAGTTATCAGTTATTTAAATAATATAAATAAAATATTTATTATTAATGATAAAATAATCGTAATATTCTTTAAAAGGTAGTAGACATAATAACGATATAGTAATTAATATTATTAAGTTGTTATTATATTAGTTATTTAAAAGTTTAAATAAAAATATTTATAGTAATTATCAATCATAATTTATTATTTAGTTTGTAAGTTTTAATAAAATATTATTTATAGTGATTCTCTTTATTAAGTTATTATAAATGTTTTAGTAAATATAATTCTCAATAATAAGTATTACTATTATATTATAATTTGTTATTATTTATAATAAATAATATTTTCTATAATAATTATTATTAAGTTTTTTTTGTTTATAGTTTTAATAAATTGCAATAAATTGTATTATTTAAAATAATAATTATTTTAATAGAAGTTGCAACAAATAATATAAAGATTTACTTTAGTTTTACGAATGGCTTGCAAGAAATAACTTGTATTTTTACTGAAACTAAAAGACCGAGCGTTCCTCAATAAAATAAATATAATATAATATAAAAAGTTATTCATTAAGTTTATAAGCAAAATTATAAAAAAAAATTAAATTTAATAAATTAAACTTAATATAATTTTTATTATATAAATATATTCACAAAAGAAATTTTTTTAGAACAATAATTACTTAAAAAATAAACTTTCATAACAACAGTTTTTCAAACTTAAACAATACAAATAAACAGAACAATTAAAGAAAAAATATAAACAATTACAAAATAATAAAAACTTTATAATATAATTTAGTACTTATAAATATATATATTTATAACAAAAAATTATATATTAAAAAATATAAAAAGTAGTTAATAAAAACTCTTATTTATCAGACGTAAACCTTATTATAACAATAATAATAGTAATAATAATTAGTGTAAATATATTAAAGCAATAATAATAATCATAATGATAATAATTAATCATAATAATAATCATATTGATAATAATAATAATAGTAATAATAATAATATTGACAATAATAATAATAGTAATAATAATAATATTGACAATAATAATAATAATAATAATAATAATAATAATAATAATAATAATAATAATAATAATAATAATAATAATAATAATAATAATAATAATAAAACCATGACTCCACGGAAGAGCCTCAAACAAGTCACTATTTTCCTTGCAAGAACATAACAGACGCTCCCCATTGGACAGGACCACAACAGCCTCAACAACCATCTCATGGAAAAGTCCAAACTTTGACAGCAGTAAAAAAAATTATTAGTAAAAAACTAATGAAATAATTATTATATAATTTATTAATATTTTTAAAAATTAAAGAAATTAAAAAAATATATAATTATATTATAATCATAATTCCTTATTTTTTTAATTATAAATTTTTCATGTTGAAAATAAATTTTTATTTATTATTATTATTACGATATGCGAAGAAGTTTCTATTCCTGTTCCCAAGTAAACGCCGCCTACCGTAAGATCGTCGAGTTCAGGAAGTACTGGAATTATAAATCCTTTTGGTATTAGAAATGAAGAAATTTCTTTCATAGTAACCTGAACAAGATTTGATTTTTTTATAAAAAAACTAATTAAATCGTTTTAATTAATAACATTACTTAAAGAATTACTGTAAAATAGAAAAACTTAATTCAAATTACAAACATTATGAAATTATTACTTTTAAATAAAAAATAAAATTATAGGATAATAAATATTTAAAAAAAAATAAACGATTTCACAAAAAATATATATATTTTTTATCAATATTTCTAAATTTAAAAGTTTTGACAAATTTATATTATTAACTAAGTAGTTTATTGCGAAATATTAAATGAAACAATAATTTATTATAATTATATAAAAGATGTATAATAAATTTAACTTTTTTAACCATTATTTTAACCATTATTATTTTTTCTACATACCAAAGGCTCGCACATTATAACTTTATTTTTTGCATCAAATTCAAGAATATTATTTAAATTAATGGAAATTCGAAAGGAAGTACTTTTATAAGATCGACTTCCTGTTATGATAAATAAAGGAAATTTAGATTGGGAATTTATAAAAAAACAAAAATAGTGATATAATTGAAAATAAAAGAAAAAGTTTATTTTTTATTACAAACGAAAAATAAGTTTGTTCGAAATGCAAAAGTTGATAACAATATAATAAACTGCTTACTTTTAGTATTATATATAAAAGTAAATGTAGTAACTATTTCTTATAAATTTTAAGAATTCATAAAGTGAGACTTTAAAGCGTACAAAAAATTAATTAAAATTTCAAAAAGATAACTTTTCATTAGTTTCACTGTTTATTTTTTACTTAAAGTATTTATGCTAATAAACTTCTTAAAAATAGTTACAAGATGTAAGGTAAACTAATAGATTTTTATTTTTAGTTAAAAAAGGTATAAAAAGTTATCAAGTATATAAAATTAAACTTATAGAAACACAATTCACTGATTTAATAACAAAAATATTTATCTATAAGTTTTATAATCTTTAAAAAATATAGCTGCTAAGCGCATAATTTAGTAATAAAAACCTGGACTCATGGATTCCCAACCACATCTGGCTGTACAAATTTTTTTCCGTTCAGAAGGTCTCTGGTTTTTCCATTCTAAAACCTCATTTAAAAAAGAAAAAGTTTAATTTCTACTATTAAGATTGTATACGCCCGTCAAAAAATTGGTTATGGTTAAACATTAAAAAGCGATAGGGATTTATATAAAAAAGATTAAGAAGAAGCTACCTGTTGTTGTATTTCAAAAACGCGCTTGTTATGAAACTCCAGAGGAGAAGTGAAAAGTTTGCGCAAATAGGAACGGAGTGTAGTAACAAGAGAATATATGATAGAGAGTGGAATCACAAACAATATCACGCAAAGACCTGGTAAACATATAAAAAATAATGGGGGGGGGGGAGGGGGGAAAGTAAATAGTTATATATAAAGTTTTTACTTCTGTGATGTGTTGCAAAACTTTCAAAGTGAGATAAGGTGCGATGCTTTGCTATGCTAAATATATATTAGTTCCAGTCGTGCTATCGTATAACTATTCTGATAATAAAACAAACTTTTTATTGACTTTAGAAACCTCAGGTTCACGGGAAACGGAGTATGGAGAAACGTTTTTCTACATACCACTATTTAACACAGTTGCTTAAAGCTAATAGTAAAAGGAGCATGCATACCATACTTTCTACAAAGCTACTAATTTTATTCCTGAGAGTAAAATGGATACCTTCAGGTGCACCGGTGCCATTATTATCAACTAAAATATATATAAATTTGTAGTTTTTTAATCAATAAATAATATAATATTAATTTTACATTTAGTAACATTCATTTATTGTTAAAAAATTGCAAAGAACTTAAACTGCATTCATAAATTGGAAATTTTTTATACCAAAATAGAAAAAGCCATTTTAACTTAAAGTGAGGCGGTTGCCTAATAAGTCAAACAGGGCCTCTAAGTAACGCGTTAAAATTATGACGTATCAAGTTAATTGGTAATTTAACAATAAAATAATTTTTTTTACACAAATGCTTACCAAGCTGTATAATATTAATGATCGTAAGTGAATATGAAAGGCATGTAAGAAACGTTTGTTATTAAAAAACCATTCTTTAACCTAAATTTTTATCTTTAAAACTAATACTATTAAAAAAAATGTAAAGCTTTAACTACTAATATTTTCTTGAGTAACTGGTTACTAATTTTATAAAAATATTAAATAAACATTTGTTTTAAAGCGCTTCCTTCTGTCACGTGATGCCAACTCACGCTGTTGCTAGACATATTTGTGGTCTGTTGAAGCGCAATGTTTCACTTTAGGAAGTTACCTAATAATATTGTTGTATTACCTAATAATATCGTCATAAGTGAGCTAGTAGCCTGCTAAAATTTAAATGATTTATTTTATGCTTAATAAATGTTATTGATGTTTTTCTTCGATCCATTTTCTGCTGGTAGTCCCAGTAGATGACAAAGTAATTGTGTTGGTAAAATTTAATACCGTTTTCTTCACTATCTAAAAATATAACTTTTTTAAGGGACTAACAAAAACAGCATTTCTAATCTAAATTAAAAACATTTTACTTTAACTTAAAGTAATAGACAATAACTGGAATAGCTAACTTTTTAATCCTTCATTAAAGAAAATATTTTTGCAAGCGTTACCATATTTGGAGGCAAAAGTTGGTGGAGAGACATACTTAAGCAAAATAGAATATTTTTCGTTATTTTTGTGCAAAATATACTTATAATTCAACATAGCAAACGTTGCTTGCATATTTTCGTTATGCATTGCCCCTTTCAGCAATTTTGGGGCCTACAAGTCTTAACTTCTGCTTAGGTCACATGTTACCAGATCATCAGCGTGTTTACACTAATATTTCATAAAGCAGCAGATAATATAGCTTTCACCAGATTTAAAATTTTTTTTAATTTATGATCTTTTTCATGCAATTTTAAATAATTTTTATTCTATTTAAGCTTTTACTATTAGTTTTAGATTTATTTTTTTGTAAATGGAAGTAATTTAAAGTCGGTACCAGGATTTATGAAATTGAACTCAAAGTATTATGATAGATAAAAAAATTATAAATAAAAATAAAATAAGCGTGGACTTAATTTATTTTGTCAGAGTTTCGTAGAATTAATCCTAATAATACGGATTAAGGGAACTTTAAAATTGCCACCAACAAATTTCCTGTTCTTTTATAAAAGTAACTTTAAAAAAATTCCTTTGAGTATAATTTTCTTTGTTAGTCGGTTTCCCGATACATGAATTAACTGTATATAACGTTATTACAACTTACAACTCTTATTTGGGTTTTCAATAACAAATTCAACCCTGTTACGTAAATATTTGCAATGTGTCGATTATAATATATTGTCTTTATTATGGCCAACGCAAAAATAAGTAATTAGTGAGTAATTAGTGATACTTCCTAATTTTATGTTTAATAAGTAAAACGATAAAAATACAAATATGGGTCTAGAGGAAATGACTAATGAAAATTTTGTTAGTTTATTTGTGGCCATCAGTATGTCCTTTGTAGGGAGCGGATAATATGGCGAATTGGTGTCTAATAATAAGATTTTACTTATATTATAGAAAAAATTTATAGTGCAGAGAAGAATAAGCACTAAGTAGCGTTATAAAGAGAATTTTTAGATGGATTTTAGGTGAAGAGAAGCTAGGAAATTTAGTACTAAGCAATTTTTGAGGTTTTTTTTATAATGGAATAAAAATTTTAAATAAGGCGAAAAACCATGTAACTAGCTTCATGACATTTAAGTTTTTACGATAATACAGGAGTCACCTCTTAAATATTCTCTCTTTAGTAGGCGCTTTTTAACAATATCTTTATATTATATGGAATTTCCCTGCAGGATTGAAGTAAATAACTATCTAGTAACTTAAGAAATTTAAACTAAATCTTTGCAAAGAAATACCGAATCAGTCATTTTATAATTAGCCCTTATAACATTCACACGAATACAATTACTTTATTATTTATATTTAAAGTAGTTATATAGCCTATAATTTACTTTTCTATCCTCTAAAAAGATCTACCAGTTATAAAACCAAAATACTATTTCCAAAACCGACTTAAAAATAAAAGTTATATTTTTCAACTATATTTTTCGACCCGAGCGTAAAAGTCACTTTATCCCATCCAAGGAAGCTACAAGGTCAGAGCAGTTTAATGTAATATCTCGTACAGATAAAACAATTTTAAGTAGAATAAACGTCTTTTATAACCTAAAATTATTTAATATTTCATTTTGTCAGACTGTAGTTTCATGAAAGTCAATTAAAAAGTAAAGGAAAAAACAAATTTATTAAAATAAAAGACTAAACAAATAAAGATGTATAATTATTTTGTATTCAGATAGTTAAGAATATTAAAATATTAATTAAAATGCTGTGCTGTATAATATGCGCCATATAACTAGTAACAAAAGGCTTTAAGAGCACAAAACTAAAATAAACCAGAAGACAAATCCAAACAAGAGTGCTAGAGAGTGTCGGAGTTCATATTCTTCGCCCTCACTTTCAAGCGTGACAAAAAGCTTCGAGCACTAAGCTTTTCTCTGTACTGGCGTGTAGGCTGGTCTGCTAGTAATTTGTACCGTTCAGTTCGCCTCAATTTAGAAAAAAACCATGTTGAAATTTAAAATAGATTGTAGGAGAAACTAATAGTTGATTTTCTACAAAGATTTGTTGTCTAAATTTTACGAAAGCCTCTTACTACCATTGTTTATAGAAATTCTTAGGATTTAAACATTCTTTTTATAAAAAATGGAGAATAAAATTTATCAGGTTTGTTAGATGTGTTCTCAATTTTTAGTTACTTATTTTTATCTATATATAATAGAAACCTACCTTGTCGCCCACTCCTTCTCCCCTTGAAAATAATAATCTTACAAATCAAGTTAAGGAACATAACACAACTATTGAGCAATTTTCTCAATTTCCCTGTTATACTCCCTCTTCACATAATATAAATAACTTTGAAAGTTATCAACCACTTCTACCTCAAAATCTGCAACTTCCATTTGGGTCTCATAATAATCATTCCTTAATGCTTAGTTCAGATAAGCATCGTATATCAGATTCGTCTATTACTAATAATAATATTCAAGCGAATGTTGCATCGGCGCCACCTTCTGATTCTGAAAAAATTTACACTCACTATCAAAATAATTTAAATTTTCCATCTCCCTTGCATTATTCTAGTAATTTAGTTTCAGCTTCCAGTGTTGCTCCCACTACTATTTCTTCTCACCAAATACCCTCCAATTATCAAGTACTAAGTTCGCAGTCCCCTCAAAGTACTCAATGCTCAATTCATTCTGCTTCACCTTCTCTTAACATCCCATTATATCCTGTTCAAAGTAGTTAATTTTTACTTTACTAACTTCTAACTTTTTTTATTTTTTTTTAAATTTTGGAATGTAAAACTTGCAGGTGCATATCCATCCTTTACTAATTCTTCTTATTATCACACGCCTGGTTTCGATGTTACACATTATTATTATTGTTATTATTACTGTTATTATTAATATTATTATTGTAGGATATAGACCTGCGTCAGCACAACCCAACGTTTACCTTAGACGATACCTCGTCTCTTCCAAGTTTTCCCTCTGTAAGTTTTGGCGGATAAAAAAAAATTATTTAATTTTTTTTGTATTAATATATAATTTTTTATCTTAAATTTTCATCCTTTGAATGGACTTTTTTTTTAGAAAAAAAGTTAATTGCTTGGAACATCGAGATTTTCATTTTTCCTTTTTTACTATTTATATATTTTACATTTTCTACAGTTAAACCTTAATTAAAGTTTTATATTAATTCTTTATAAACTATTTAATATATAAAAAATAGATTTTAAAGACTAATTGTTTTTTTTTAAAGTTCTCGTGTACTGTTTGCCGATTACTAACTTTTTTTTTGAATGCTTACTGCGAAGGATTTAAAATTATTATCATTCGATAAATTAATTAAAGTTTGAAGACAGCTTCTAAATTTAAAGAAGAATCACAACAGACTCGTGCTTTTGAGATTTTTTAGAAATTTACAAATGAATCTAATAAAAAATTTTTGTGAAACTTTAAAGGACAGCTAGTCAAAAGGATAGCTAGTCATACATTCATGAAATTTTTTCATACTGCTTTATTGTTGATCTTGTAAAATAGTTTTTGCTTTTCTACTTAAAAAGATTTATCGAAGATTTAAATTTTTTTAAAACCAGAATACATATTTTAAAGAAGCTTGCTGAAAGCTTTTCTCTATTAAAAGTTTTTTTCTCACGATTTAGAAAGTAATTAACTATAAGTTCTATATATAATACGCACTCCAATGAATATCTCTGGATCGAGTGCATTTTATTATTTACTTGCTTTTGATTGGCTGTAATTGTTTAGTATAAATTATTTTTTAGAAACTACATAAAAAAGTAGAATTAATGGTTAAAAGAAAAATTAAAACTTTTTTATTGGCTACATACTCTAATCACTACACAAACACCATTTTTTTAACATGAATTTTAGTGATATAAATAGACTAACAGTGGTGGTATGAAAAGTTTAACTTTTTTTTAATTGGTTGTAATGTGTAAAAGACTTTTAAAAAAATAATAATAGAGAAAAATGTAAATATAAAATGGACCAATTATATTATAGAATACAAATAACGTTTTCTTGCTTGTAATTGGGTAGAAGGATTACTGAATTTTAATTGTTACGGTGATAATAGACAAGTCATAAAATGAATTTTTTTGAGTAGTTCTTATTTTTATTTATAGAAATAATAACAAATAACTTTATTAATAAATATTTTATTATTAGTTGCAAAATATATACAGTAAATCTGTATTATTAATTCGATTAATAGCGAATAGAACAATTTAAAAATTTTTTAATTGCTACCCTTCGACTTATTACTGAACAAAAACAATTTTCTAAAAGGAATTTTTAAGCAAGAACCCTCCTAGAACTTTTATTCGCCCCACGCTATCATGTGTCCCTCCCACAAAAGCGATGCTTCAGAAAAGTCAGCTTCATTTTGGCTTGCATGCTTCTCCTTTCCGTACCGATAGAGTACTTTTCATTGTTTTTTTTGTGTGTTTTTTAATAAAAGTTAACTTATTATTCGCTAACTTTTTTAATTTTTTAAGCATTTGTTTTAGATTTTTCTTCTCTTTGTTGCATTTAAATATCTACTTTTAAATTATAATATATACTAACTAAATAAAAAAAATAAGTGTTTTAAAAAAACTATAAAATAATAAAAAGTTTCAATGAAAACTATTATATTAACAGTTTTATAGAAATCATAAGATAAGCACAATTTTCAAGAAACAAAATATCAAAATTTAAAACTAATAAAAAATATTACATTTTTTTTCCGTTTTTTTTCTTTCCACCTTTTATTATTTTTTCTTTTATAATTTTTTATTATTAACTGTTGAAGCAAATATTAAAAATAAATTTTTTATTTGTCATTATTATTAATTTTCATTTCTTTTTGCGTTCTACTTTTTATTATTTATTTATCTTTTTTTTAATTATTTTATTTACATTTACTGTTAACTATTATTTTATGAAACTTTTCTGCTTTCTTCTTGTTTAAGTTTTATTTATTTATAATTGTTTCTTTATTAATGTTTCGTTATATTAATAATTATTTTTGTTAAATTATTATATATATTTTTATTACTTTTTACTAAATAACAACTTTCTGCCTTTTACGTTCTACTTTTTATTTTTTCTATTTTTTTTTATAATATTATATATTTTATATTACCTTTGTCTATCAATAATATTAAATATTTATTTTCTCGCTACTTTTTACATAAATAATAATTATTTCTTTTTTATTATTTAAGCAAAAACGAGTACTTTTTTAAATATTGTATAAATTTTTTTATTTTTTGTGGTTATTTGAATTTTTGTTTTTAAATATTCTATTTTTTTTAACTTTTTTAGAACTTATTATTCTTATTATATATACGAAAAACTCATACAATTTTTGTTTTTTTTTTGTTTTTTATGTTTTATATATAAGAAAAGTTAAAAGAAAAGTTATTTTTTTTATTATAAATAACTTATAATATTTATTAGCATATCTTTTTATTATTACTTTGTATTACATTATTTTAAAAAAGCATTTATATTTTTTTATTCATTATTTAGAAGTGAAAATTTTCTTATAATAATGAATATTTATTAAAAATATTTTATTTTTTAAAAAAATATATATATAGAAGTTCTATTAATAGAGAATTTAAGCTCTATTATTATAGGATATTGTGGAAAGTATAATAATTTGTATAATAATAATACACACATAAACTTTATTGAGCTTTTTAATAATAGTAATAATTTTAAACAGTTCTTTATTTTTTTAATATTTACTATAAAGAAAATAATAAACATTTTGTTATATAAAATAATGAAGTTAACGTGAATTTTTGAGTATTTTACTTCTTCTATGAAATAATTATACATAGCATTGTTTTTTATTTATATATTATTTTCTATATATTAATAATTTTTTTAAAAATATTTGTTATTATTATGTTCTTAACGTTAACTTTTAGGTATTTCTTTATTTTTATGACTTAAAAGTAATATATATATATTTTTTTTTAAAACATAAAAATATTATTATTATTACTATCACTTAAACTGCTTACCATTATATTATATTTTGATATTATTATATCGAATATATTATTTCTTTATTAATACGAATATTATGTTAATACAAAAACGCTAAATTTGCTAAACTTCATAAAAATATATAATAATATCCTTGTAATAATAGAACTTTTTATTACTATTTTTTACATTATTATTATTTTATTGTGTAAACGTGCCTTATAGAATATTTTTTTTATCTTCAATAATAGTAATAATAGTTTATAACAATAATAATAGAGTATACCACTTTTGTCCTGCGAGATCGACCGCTGCAAAGATTGTCGAGCGTATATCAATATGTTTGTGGCAGTAAGTGAGGGGGGAAGGCGTTGGCGCTGCAACATGTGCCAAGCAGAAAACACACGTCCGTTTATTATTATTGTTATTGTTATTACTATTACTGTATGTATCGTAAGGTTTATATATGATATTTATTAACTTCTACTTAACATTTTACTCTTTTTATTATTATTAATTTATATATATATATTAATAAATATATAATTACTATAAATAAATATATATTTGATATATATTGTATTTAGTTATTTTTATATTATTAGTGCTATTTAGTAAATTGTTTATATTTAATTCTGGTTTCGTTAATATTTTATTATAATTTTTTATATTGTATATTAAATATATTTGTTGGTAAATAAAAATTGTCGGTATTATTATTAGTTGTAGGATATTCATTGATATAAAAAAACTTTCTTGCATTCGCCCTGGTCGCTGTTGACCGGCCACTTTAAAAACTTTTTTGTGAGCGCAAAGAATTATTTATTACGAATTCAACTTTAAAATTATTCTGAAAAATGAGCCAATAAGTGATGGTAATACGGAAGCACCACGAGGGGAGGGCGAGAAGTCTCGTTTGTCCTTAGTAGCCCCCTCACCTTTGCGACATCACTAGCCTGACCACAGGCAGCCTCGACTTTAACCTTCTAATGTCTTTTACTGGCCCTTCAATCTGACTTTATTTAATGCATTGGACCCTTTTCATTGCGTTTCACAACCTGATACGTTAAAATGGCCCCTATTGTTAACTGTTCTATACAGCTTTTAACTTGATTGGTTGGTGGATAATCAACGTGGAGTTGGCTTGCTTATATATTCCATTTTTATTGGTCGTCCTTCCTGTTGTCTGCCAATTTCTATTTTTCCAGTATTTTCGTAGCGGTCATGTCTATTCGCTTATTAAAAAAGTTTTTCGTGTAAAAAGTTATGTATATGTATTCATAATACGTATTATAAATATTATTAGTAATAATATTAACTACTACTCTTCATTAAAAAAAATATTCTACATTTAATTCAATAATAATAATATTATTAAATATATTCGTTCTGGCACTGAATTTGCTATTATTTTTCAGAATTACATATTATATTTATTATTATAATAAATATTAAGTATTCCACGAAAATTTATATATTTATAGTATATTCTTTTATTATTATTAGGTTTAATAGTTTTCATTATAATTATTGTTAAAGTTTTTCTATTGCGTATGGAAACTAAATTTTATATACTATTACAATTTTTTTGTTTCTATTAAAAAAGTTTAAAGTTTACCAATGAATTTTTTATATATTTATATATTTATAATATTTACTATGATTAATAATATTTTTACAATTATTTAAAATTATATATTAGAAATTTATAAAAATATCTTAAATATTAGTTTATGCTAATTTTTTGATAGAAACTTTAATTTGCTACTACTATTTTTATTATCGTTGTATTTTATTTTTATAATAATAAAAATCTTTCATTTACTATATTTTTTATATTTTTAATACTATTATTTATATATTAAATATTGTTTTTTTATTATTATTATACTTTTAAAAAGTTTATTTACATTTTTTATATATAATATATTTATTAAATTTAGTTTTATAGTATGTATATTTCTCGAAAGTTTACTAATATATTGATTAAGTTTTGTTTTTTTCTACTTTTTATATTAATTTTTATATGTATATTAAAAATAATATTAATCTTCAGTTTCTGAGTCAAATAATTTAATGAACCCTAGCGGCTCCTATCAGCATTGCGTTCCTCAGCAATCAAGTTATTTATTATTATTATTATTATTATTATTATTATTATTATTATTGTTTTTGTTGCTGTTATTGTTACCACTATCATTATCATTATCATTATTAATTCTGCAGTTGTTGAATTCACCGCAACGAAACAGTATCTCGTGCGTGAGACTCCCCAACCTGCTGTTCATTTATTCCTTATTGATGTATCGGCTCACTCCGTATCTTCTGGTTGGCTGCATTATTATACATTGTTTTTTACTATAAGTCTTATAGAGCCTACACCGATCAGGAATGTTGGCGACTACCGTGAACGTTATTAAAGATCATCTCTTTGCTATCCCCGGCGGCTGTAATAAGAGGCTCGCTTTCATTACTTTTAATGATACCATTCATTTCTATAACTTAAAGGTACTGTTATTAGTAATTTTATTAATTTTACTTATACGAGAGACTCGCTTTCATTACTTTTAATAAAACGTTTCATTCTTAACCCAGAAAAGTTGTTATTATTTTAATATTTTTATAGAATATAATAGTATCTACAATGCAATTACTTAAATAATTTTTTATTTTATCTATAATTGTTTGGGCTTTCATTTTTCTTGTCAGTAAAGAGCTTATCATTATTTATACAAATTATCAGTTGTATATTACTTGTGTGTTACAAATATAATATTAATTACTTATAATAAATATATATATACGTGTACTCATAATATATACTTTTAGAGTATTTAAATATTTTTTCATCCTCTGTTGTTATCGAAATCACATGTATATAATATTTTTTACCTCTTACGCTTTTTAAGTTATATATATAATATTATTTTCTATTTTTCATTATAATTTACTATATAAAAATATATTTTTATTTTTCCTAATAATTTTATATTTAAGTATTTATTTCTTTAATATTTATTGGTTGAACTTTTTACAATTATTTATCTCTTAATTAATTCTATCCAATAGCTCGTTATTCTAGTATTAAATATACCAAATAACTTTTACTTGTTTTAGAACGACAGCGGCCATCCAAAAATACAAATTGTTCCGGAAATTTCAGGTTTTGATTTTTTGGGGTCATTAATTTAAATAATGAATACCATTATAAATATATACAGACGCATTTGTTCCCTCTTACGAAGGCTTTTTAGTTTCTCTTGAGGAAAGTGAAGAGGTAATTTATATATAATATAATAATTATTTAAAAAATATTACAATAAAAACAGTTTATAATAAAAAGATTGCCGTATAATAAGATAATATTAATGATAAGATAATTATAATATATAAATAATGATATCATTATCAAGAAATAAAATATATATATAATTATTATAATATTTGTTGAATAATAATAATTATAACTAAGTTTCCAGTTATGTTGAAAAGTGTGTTATTATATTGAAATGTTATTATAAGTATCAAGTACCATTTACATGAAATTAATATATAAAGTTAATTGTACTTGTAAAAAAAAGGTATTTCAATATATTTATAATAAAAAGAATATTCATTTAAATAAATATTAATAACTCTTAATAAATAATTTTTTTATAAAAAATTTTATCATTAAAGTAAAAAAAGTATTTATTAACATTTAATACTCGTATAGTATTTATAATATTAATAAAAAAAATATTATAATTATTAATAATAATTGACTAAAAGTATACTGAAAAGTAATAGTTAAAAGTTTTTATAAAACAATATAAATATATAGGTAATATTTATAAATAATAATATTTTAGCAGCTATAAATTAATATAATTAAGAACTTTAAAACGATTTAATAAAAAAAATATATAATAAAAAAGTGTGTTTATTATAAAAAGTAAAGTATAAAAAAAGTATTTTGCAAAATATATTAATAATAAATAGAATAATTTGTAATAACTTTAGTTATTATAATATTATATTTAATATTTAATAAACAGTTACTGATTAATAATACTAATAAGTTAATAGCATAAAAATTTTTATAAAAGAAATACAAGTCGTATATATTTATTAACTAGAAAAGTTTATGACTAAAATGTGTTGTAAATAATAACAATAATACTAATACTAATAATAAAATAATAGTATTCATGATAATAGTGGTATTCATCATAATAATAGGTGATTGCTGAACTGCTAGAGTCGCTTCCTGCACTCTACAGAGAAACAAATATTACTAAAAGCTGCATGGGCGCCGCACTAAAAGTCGCGTGTGAACTTATGGTTACTTTTATGAATGTTTTTGAAGTTTTATAATTGGTTCTATTGACTGCTTTTATTAGTTTTATAAGTATAGATTATTATAATTATTGTCTTTTATATTTTAGCTAATATTTATATATTTTTCATTATTAATAGTAAAAAAATATTATATATTATACTGTTTATCAATTACTAATATAATAAAAAGTTAACAAAAAATAAATTGTTCAAGTGAAATAATAATAAACTCTTCTTATTTTACTTATTATGTTCATTTCTTGATATTTACTGGCTTGCATGTTATGAATTGTAATTGGTTAATGAGTTTTTAAAATAAAAAATAAATTCATTCGATGGTTAAATTTTTTTTTGTAATTCTATTGGCCAACTTAGTTTTCATTATTTCAATGCTTGTTATTTGTTTATTACTATACTAAAATTTATTAGTCACTTTTTTTTGTCAATATATAAAACTAATATATAACTAATTTTATTAAAGTATTAATTTTTAATTTACTTATTATTTTGTATATTAAATTATATTTATTTATTTTGTGAAAAGCAATTATCAGGCGGGCGCATTATGCTTTTTCTAAGTTGTTTGCCGAATGCTGGCGAACCAGTTCTTCTTGATAGAGAAGCTGCCGTGGAAAAGTCTACAAAAGAGGTACAAATTGAGAAGTGCACGATCAAGTAAAGTTTTTTTATGAAAGTTACTTTACAGTTCATTATTATTTAATAATATGAAAAACGTTATATTGTTAATATATAATGAAATAATAGAAATAATATCCACTACAGAATTGTATAGTAAAGTTTTTTTTTCTTATATAACTTTGATTTAATAATTATATTGTATATGAAATTAGTTTATAAGAAAAGTTTATCCTCACTATAATGAAATATATATTATTATTATAATAAGTGACAATTTTCTATATTTATAATAATTATTATAGAAGATAAAGTTTTATAATTATTATTATATTTTTTAAAGTTTATGTCATATAAATATATACAACCGAAAATAGATCTTTTTTAATTTGTTAATAAAATAAACTTTTACTAATAATTATTGAAAATTTGTATTATATCAATGATTATTAAATAATTGTTTGTCTTTATAAATTATAATAATGTATTGTATTTTTTCTTATAAATAATATTTTTATTATTAACTATAATCATCTATTAATATTTTTCTCCCTCTCTATATATATTATTAAAAATTTTACTTTTTATTTTTATTTACATATTAACAAAAACTTATTTTATGTGTTTATTATTATATTTTTTATTTATATATACATAATAAAAAAGAATTTTTCATATTTGTTTATATTTATATTTTCTATACTTAAAGAGGTTTATATAACAAAAAAATACTAGAAGTTTGACAAAAAATTTTATATTTTTATAAAAATATGATTTCTTTTTTTTACTTTTTGTAATATATTTTAGATTTATTTAAAATTTTTTATTATAAAAGTGCATGTTTTTCAAATTTTAACTTCAGTATTTCTTTGGTATATATTTTATTATCATGTTAGAATTATGAGTTACAGTGTTTATGTTTTTTGACTATTACACTATTTTTTGTATTAGCTCGTTTGTTATTTTTAGTATGAAGTTTTTTACTTGGAATAGTAATGTTTATATTTTTCTTTATTTATTTTTAAATATAAATTTTTTATTGTTATTACTTACTCTGAAAGCTCTTATTTAGTGCCCTATTATAAAACTGTAAAGCAAGTTACCGCAATACACCTAAATCACGCGATTTTGATAGCTTTTAATAGTCGTTTTTAATGATTATTAATTTTTTTATGGATTTTCATTTGTTATTAATCTTTTATATATTTTACTTAATATCATTATACTTTTTTATATTTATATATAAACGACTTTATATTTTTTCTTATTTTTTTTAATTTTTATTATATTTAATAAATCTATGAAACAGGGCCCCAATTACTTTCTCCCTGCGAGCGACTTTTTTACTGTTTTTCCATCGGAAGTTTGCAGGTAATTATGAATGTTGTTTCATTATTATTATTTGTTTTGTTATTACAATTATTAATAGTAAATTTCAAATCGGAATGGATTTATTCTTATTTACTTCCCAGTATATTGATGTTGCCAGTCTTTGTAATATATATATTACTTATATTGGATGTGTAATACTATAACTTCACTATATTATTTATTAATAATTTTTTTCCAGCCAATCTCGCTAGATATAGTGGAGGCACGTGTTACTACTATCGCGGTTTTGACGTGAATAACTTTCCGGAAATGACGGAGAAGTACAAAAATGAGCTCAGCAATGTGCTTTGCAGGGAAATGGCGCTGGAGGCCGTTTTTCGCATGCGCTGCTCAAAAGTTTATTATTATTGTTACTATTACATATGATATATACCTGTTTTTCTTTTTATTTATATTTCTGTTCTTTTACTTTTTTTTCCATTTTATTATTTTACTTTAATATATATATGTATTTATTTATTATATATTTATTACATTATTTGATTAGTATTTTTATTTTTTTACTTTTTACTTATTAATTATATTTTTTTATATGCATACTTCATTATTATAAGGGATTAAGCATTGAAAACTACTGCGGAAACTTCTTCCGCCGCTCTTTTGACTTATTGGTCATTCCCTACGCCAATCCGGACTTCTCTTATTCCATGGATGTCCACGTGGATGACGATCTTTCCAGGTTGAGCTCCGTCGCGTTTCAGTCGGCCTTTCTTTACACGACTGCTACTGGTTGGAAGTTTATGAATTTTTGTTTGCCTCTTGTTATTGATTCACTTAGTACACATCTTTTATTATCAATTACTTTTATTTTTTTGTTATATTTATTGCTTATTTACACATTAATATTATTGTCATTTTTGTAATTATTACTTTTATTACTTTGTTAAGGTTTTATTTTGACTTTATTGGGTAGTATTTTGATTATTTTAATTGCATTTAATTTTTCCTATTGGCTTATTTGTTTGGTTAGTTTTATGATTGGTTGTTGATTCCGTTATGTTATTTTATTAAGTGAACATTATATTTTTTGATCTACACTATTAATGTTGTATTAATATCACTATGAATCTATAAGTGAAATATAGTACATTAATTTTATCATTATTATATATCTGTATATCTATTGGCTTATTAAGTATATTATTTTCAATAAATTTTTTCTAAATCAAGTATTCGTTTATTTACATTGCCGCTTTTTTATTAGTCTACCTTTATTTCTTTATATTCCTTGACATTTATACCTTTTTTATTAATATTTTTATATTTATTGTTTCATTATATTATTTTTTGTTTTATTCATACGAATATCTTCATATTAATAAAGGAGAGCGAAGAATCCGCGTTTGCACACTTTGCCTACCGGTGGCAAAGACTATAGGAGACTTATTCCGATTCGCTGATAGCGACTCCATGATTTGCTTTCTTGCCAAAATAGGTATTTTGGTTTTTCACTAAAAAAATTCTTTATTATAAAATTAAGGAACTTGACTCGTATTTTGTGTTCGTCGACTCCAATAACCATCCCCTCGCATTATTTTTTAACGAATCATAAAGTTGTTAGCTAATTGAGATAGACCTCTGTAGCTCGGTTTGAGCGTTTTTCTTGAAAATATCTATTGTGAATTGTAAAGTTACGGCATGAAATGCACCAATGAAAATTCTTATTCTATTGTTCTTTCAATTGTGTATTATTTTTTCATAAATAATAATGAATTATGCTTTATCTAAAAAAAAAATTTTTTTTTCATCATTTTTATTAGTAATGAAGTTATAATGACTCATATTAAAAAATTTGTTATTATAAAATTTATGATATTTATAAAAAAATTAATCATTTTTATTACACTAGACGAATTTTTTATTTATAGAGAAAAGGAAAGAAATGAAATTAATTTATATTACCAACTTTTGTTTTAAGTTGTCTATTGGTTTTTATTTTAGTCATTCTTTTATTATTGATGTTTTTCTTTCTAATCAATTAAATGGTTTAACAATTTTTCATGTAAAAAAGGTTTCCTTGTTTCACTATTATAAAACTAGCTTTGTAAATTCTTCTCTAACTATTTAAAGTTTTAATAAATCTTTTTACTTTTATATATTTTTTTATTATTTGTTTTTGCGATTTTATTGGGTTTTATTAAAAAAGTTCTTGGACAGTACTATTTATGAATTTTTTAGTTCAAGTTTTCCACCAATAAAGAAGTATATAAACACCTCTAAATTAATTTTATTAGTGAAAAAATATATATATATAAATATTAATTCTCTACGGATTTGTTAATTATTATATTTTTTCCGTAACTTTTTTGAAATTTTTTAAAAAAATTTTATTGGTTGAACTCAGCATGTGAAAAAGTGCTTGAAGCGAAAATCTCCAGCGTGAGAGAGGCTTTTTTTAGTAAAGTCAGAGACATACTAGCGGCCTACAGCCAAGGCGTGAGGTGCCGTTATTAAGCTTCATATATTTATAGTAACAATAATAACAAATAAATATTATAAAATAGCAAAAATTTAAAATACTATTAAATATAAATAGTAATAATTATGTAATTATACAATAATTATAATAAATGATATAATATAATAAAGTCATAATAGAACTATTTTTTTATTAGACTTCGTAATTTTTAAGTAATAAAAATAAATATAATATTCATTATTATCAATGAATATTATAAACGATAATGATAATAATAGTTTGCAAATGAAAAAAAAAATAGTGAATGTAAAAATACTAAGAAAATTGAATATCAGTTGTTAATAATAAATATATAAGTATATTATGTATTCATATAAATTTAAAAAATAGCAATAAACTTTTTATAATAATAAAGAAGGGTAATATCGTTTTATAAAAATTTTATTTGTAATAATAATTAGAATTATTAATAATGAAAAATATGAATATATTTATAATGAGAATTAGAATATATGATAATAAATTCAATCATTAACTTTTATATTCTCAATAATAATAGTAATATATGAATAAAATTTATAATAAAAATCATAGAATTATTAAATCAGTAATAAAAAATAATGAGTATTAATAAAATTTTTAATAATAATAATGAATTAATAAAGCTATTAATAAATATATACCAATAAAAAAGGTAAAAAAATAATAATACCGGGCTTTATAAATTAATAAATACAATACGTGAAAAAAATAAAATTACTTAAAAATAATTATTATTAATAAAAAAATATTAAATTAAATATTAAATAAAAAAATAAAAATTGTATTAAGTATTAATAATAATGAAAATAATACAAACAATATAATAGTAATACCAAATATTAATAATAAAAAAATTTATAAATTATTAATAATTTATAATACGTATTCACTAAATTTATATTCTAATACTCAACTAATAATAATAATTTGTTCAATAAAATATAATGAATAATAAAAATAAGTAATAATTATAAGTATTTATAGTAATTCTTTTTAATAACAATAATACCGAACATTTAGAGGTTTGCCTAAAGGCCAATATGTACTTCCGATGACTTTATCGAACTTTGCTCTTTGCACGCTTGCTTTAATGAAAAGCGTAATCCTTTATTATTACTTTTTTTTATGTTTCATGAAAAAAAAAGTAAAAAAAACTTTAAGTGAAAGTAAATATTATATATATATTTAATAAAAATTATAAAGTAATAAAAAAAATTTTAATTATGTAAATGTATTACTACATCTTTTTATTAAAAAAGTTTTACAGAAAACTTAAATATAATTATAATTTTATATTTATTTTATAAATTTTTATATATTTACTATTGTAAACATAATAATAAACGTGATTATAACTTTTATAAATATTACTAAAAAACAGCTTCTTTAAGAACACCTTTTTTAATAATATAAAAGTATTTCTCTACGCGTATGTATATTTGTCTTATTTTACTTGTTAATATATTTTTATTTAAATTTTTTATACTTTACTTTTTTATTTTTAATAATATTTATATTTTTTTCACTTCAGTTATTGTAAAAAGAAAAATATAAATGAAATTTATCCTTTTTTTATTTAAATAAAAGTATTGTATATAAATATTTGTTTTATTAAATCTTTTACTTATTAATATATTTTTATTATAATGTTTTCCAGGTTTGTTTTGATTTGCGAACTGCTTACAAACTCGACGATATTTCGTATTACCTGCACTTGTTTAGGATTTTTCCGGTGCCTCAACTAATAATGAGCATTCGCCCGTGTTTATTCGCTCTTCATTATTTACTGGAAGCTGAACATATTTTCCAGCCTTTGCCTCTTACTTTTAGGTAATAAGGATAGTATAAATAATAATATAATGAATACAAAAATAATAAAAATAATAATATGAATATTAAAAATACTATACATTGTGTAAATAACAATAATAATGGTTTAAATAAAAATAAAGCATAATATAAATTATATAAATAATATTAATAAATAAATAAAAATAATAATACTATTTATAGTACTTATTTTTTATTATTATTAATATTAATCATAAACAATTAATAGTAATTAATAACGCTTGAAATATATAACAATGTGGCTGGACAGTTTTAATAATTTCTTAATTTTTTTTTGCTGTTCGCTTTTTTAGTGATAATTGGTTTAATATTCAAAAAAAACATTTATAATATAATAATAATAATAATAATAATAATAATAATAATAATAAATACGAGGTCCATTGAGGAGACCGGCATTTATTTGCTATTTAACGGCTTTGAAATTATTGTTTTTGTTCTCGAAAAAGTTCCTGCTATTTTACTTCAACAGTTATTTGGCGCGAGAGATTTTGCTTCTCTTTCAAGTTCCTATCATTCTAAATTTTCGGTATTTTTATGAAAATTCATTTTTTATGCAATAAAACTAACTAATGAAAAAATAAGAAAGTTTATGCCTTTTGGAAATACTCGTTTTAATTTTTTATAAAATAAAATTATATACGATCATAAATTAATAAGAAGGCGTTTCATTAAAATTACTGAAAAAATTAAAATGGTTAAGAATTTTTAAAATGATAGTAAATAAGCATCCTTATAAAAGATTTGAATGGTGCTTATAATAATTCGCATTTTCTTATTAGTTGTGTTGCCTGAACTGCTTGGCTTCGTATTTTAACTTTCATGCATACTTTTTATACTTTGCATGTTTAGTGGATTAGTATATATTAGCCCACTTTTTTTAATGGCTGATAAAGAAAATAGTGCGAATTTTATTATATATTTTATTAACGTCCTGCATGGTCGATTTGTAGAATATTTCCATTCATGTTTTCTAATATTCTATTATTATTCTAAATTTAACTGTTTTATAAATTTTATTATCCGAGTATTATCCCGTTTTTAATTCGCGCAGTATGATACATTTTACGTCGAGCTAATAATAATATGTTTTCTTTTTACTTATTGTAAATGCTTATAAATTAATTATCGCTCAAGCGCTTTATATTTACTTGGATTGGCGCAAAGCCACCTAATCAATTAAGCAATCTTTTGTAATTATTTTTGTTTTGATAATTTTTATTTTACTACAACTTTAAATTTTTTATTTTGATTTTTAGTGCACTTTTCCAACTTTGGAAAATTTAATATCGCAAAAAGCACGTGCTCTTGTTTCTTATCTTCAAGGCATGTTTCCTAGTATTTTCCCATTGTTTTTTTTAGTAAAGTCTACTGACAGTAACTTTCGATCGTTCGTTTCCAAGGTTTAAATATTATTATTATTATTATTATTATTATTATTATTATTATTATTATTATTATTATTATTATTATTATTATTATTATCATTATTATTATTATTAACTATTCTTGTTATACTTATTATAACTTAGAACTTTATTATGGACAAAACTGAAACTAATCCTTCCTATGCAGAGTTTATAGATTTACTATACAAGTGAACATGCATGGAAAGCTACAATGCATATTTCACATAATAAAGATTTCATTGAAATTCATAAGAAAAGTAGTTTTTGTTTCATTTTATTATATAATTATAACTTCATTTTATTAGTTGCTATTAAAAAACATTATTGGCCTGTATAACTTTTTATAAAGTCGCTTGGTCAATAAACATCAAAAACTATTAGAAGTTTAACACTTTTAATTGGATTAGTTTTACGAAAACTTTCTGATTCGTGGTTTTGTAAAATTAAATAGAGACAGATTTTCCTATTAAGCATAAAGTTCTAATACTCATTTACTTATTAAATATAATAATAAATAATGCTTTCAAATATGGAACTTTTGCAAAAAGCTTAGAAGTCGGCGCACTTTTTTTTTTTTCAAAAGTTCGTATATTTTAGAATTGTATTAGTTTGGCAGCCTTACTAGCTTCATTTTTCGCAGCTTACTAAGAATTTTTCTTTATCATTTGATTTTCGGTTACCAGAAATTTTTATAAATTTAGTCATCTTTTACTACTTAAGCAACTCATAAATTTTTTAAAAATCTAGAGAGAATTGCACATAATGTTTAAATAGTATAGACTTATAGTTTTTCGGGTGAAAATTGTTGGAGACCTTTTGGTGTTATATTTATTTTATATTCACAAGTTTTAGGTAAAACTTCCTACACTATAAATAATCATTCTCAAATTTATAATAATTTTCAAAATTACTTAAATTTATCGCCTTAACGATATCATAATAAGGTATTTCTTTAAGTCTAAAAAGAAACAAATTCTGGCATTTGGCGTTGCGAAAACTGTTATTTGTTTAGCCAGCCACAGAGCACTTTCGAAGTCTGTATTTTTAATGTTTCCGCCATGTAAATGCGTTCTTAACAAAGAAGTGTACTTATAAATATAAATAGAAAAATTAAAGTTTTCATTAAAAAGAGGCAAAAAGTCAGGCTCTACTTTTATTTATCCTCAAATCTTAGTTACTACTTTTTATGTTGCAAACCTTATGAGTATCGACTTTTTACAAAGTTTAACTTTTTGTTCGTTGATAAAAGTTACCATTTAATAATGAAAAACCAATGAAACTGAGACGATCGGAATTTATTTACATAACATTAAGGCTGGACTTTTTTTCTGATGCATTATTAGTGGAGTCGACTTTATTAGAATTGTGTGTATTTTTAGTAAAAGTTCCACCGTTATCTTTTATATTTTCATTACTTTCAGTATATGAATTACTGATTTCAGTAAAATATTTTTGATATTCCTTGAAACTTCCTGCAAATAATAATAATAGTAGCATTAAATATTAAAAAAAAAATTCTACCACTCATTAAAGGAATAATGACGTCTTCCATATTAGGATAAACAAGTGCTTCATAAAAAAGATTCTGTATTATTATTATTATTATTTTCTTTTTAAATAAATTTTTATCAATATTTATATAATTTTTTCAAAAAAGAAACTTAAACCAGTGCGTTAATAAGATTGCATTTTCTAAAACAAGTCTCGTTGCTACTAATTAATTTATTGTCTCAAATATGTATAGTTGATGCACGTGATTTTTTGTTCGCCTTTTTTAATTCCGTACTTAATATCTTTTACGGTTATAAGAATAAATAAATCCCAGTGATTAGATGCAGTGAGAGTACAAATTAACTCACCAGCAATCGATTATTGACAAGAAACAAAAAACTGGTCATACAGCAGACAATGCAGTTAGCGCCTCTCTTTTTATGTACTTTGTGAAAGTTACTATATTTCAATGACGTTTTGTTTTTTATGAAAAAAAATTATCCGTTAGGGCTTTCTATAATAATGGTGCGATACGCTCTTCAAACTAAGTTTACATTTATAATATATAATAATATTAATAATAATAATAACATAAAGTTTCGCAATAAACTAATCAAAATGTATATTATAACTTTCAAACATCAAAACGCGTAAATCACTTTTGGTAATACTATGTGATTGGTTAACTTTGTACCCAAAGAAAGGTAACAACCAATCAATAGCCGAAATTTTATTGGGTTAACTAATAAGCATTAATAATTAAATTATCTGCAATAATTTATTCTTTGTTAAATTATAAAACATTAAATATAATGGGGAAAAAGATATGCAAACCAAATTTGTAGTAATACAACGCGATTTAACTTGTAAATCCTAACCAATTATTCGTCGAAAAAGTACCAATCAAATAATTGTTTCCTCCAATTATTTAATGAGTAACAAACCTTATAGCTTTTCTAAAAATAGTAAACTGGTACTTTAGCTTAGAAGCAAGTGTTCTTACAAAATACCAAAAAGAAAATAAGAAAAATATCTAAGTGCAGCCAAAGCAGCAAACGAAAAACCACGAGCTAAATAGTAAAGGGATGTCATGTAAAAAATGATGATATCAACACAAAACGGAGTCATTAACTATTTCGCAATACACAAAATATTTATGGTAATAAAAATAAAGAAAAAAAGTTATTACCGCTTCAAACTTAAAAAAAAATAATCTATAATATAAAAGTTATAATATTCTATGCAAAAATATATAGTAAAAGGTAAACCTTTTTATCAAAATAAAAAATAATACTATTTATACTACTCCTTATAAAACAGATATATAAAATTAAAAAATAGTATAATTTTTATATAGAATATAATAATAAATAATCTATTTCTATAAAAATAGTTACATTTCTAAAAGTTTTCTTAAAAATATATGAATTGTATAAAAAAAGAGACACGAGCAGTGAAGTACTTTTAGTTTATCCTCAATAAACTTTATTATCAAAGGCATGTTCACATCCACTTCACCAATTTTAGAATTCACGGCGATATCCAACTCGGGAGGCTGCAAAAATCCATACCTGGTAGTAATTATATTATTTATTATTATTATGGTTATTATTAATAGTTTATAGAAATAAAAAATGTTAGGAAAAAATATGAAGTTTAATAATATTTTTTTAATTTTCATGCAACATTTAAAATCCTTTTTAAAAGTTATATAGTCAATAAAACATTTTATATTAATGCAGTATAATTTTAGAGACTAATAAATTAGTTTCATTATTTATATAATAATTTTTTCCCCTAAGATATATCTCAAAGCTTGTTGAGTCTTCCTTTATATATAAATTTATTGTTTTTATTGGAAAGTCAATAAGAATATTAAGTGAAACTGTATGCATTTCTACCAGAGTCTGTCGGTAGGGGGTGAGGATATACGGAAGAGCATAAGCCCCCTAAAACTTCGTACCTATATTGAAAAGTAAAGCAAAGAATAATAATTATTAACATGATTCGAATATATTTATAAGTAAATAAATATTCATAGAATATGTTCCTTGACTTTCAAGTCAACATTAACCGTTTGAACACGTTCCTTTACTAAGTCAAGCGCTTTTTTGAAAAGAGGCCTCAATAATAATCTGTACAAGTAAAAACTCTCATAAACCACGTGTCAATACAACATTTATTTTGTATTACACCAATAAAAAACAGGTTTAGAGCATTATATATTAATATTTTCACTAAATTTACTTATCGCTTTGAGCACCCAATCCAACTTCAGCTTCCACCGTCATAGAAAAACCTCCGTCGTAGCGGACCTATAAGGTTTACAATATAATGGCATTTTATTAAATATTTTAAACGGTAATGATATAAAAACCATCGCATCAAAAGCAATGCCATCTCTTACTGAACACGAGGCAGAAACAATTTTCTAATATTATAAAAAATACTATAAATTATAAAAATGATTAAAAAAGAAAATTTTTATCTTTGTAAGTGCAAAAAAAGCTTTCCAACGCTTTAAAATTTGACTTATTAGCTTTAAAACACTTTAGTTAGAAGTAAACCCTGCTGATTGGCGCTCATTAAACTTTACCGCATAAATATAATATTATGATTGGTTGTTCACACGGCATTACTGATAGTGTTCGCCAAAATTGAGAGAGTAATTTTAAGGTTTGACTGGTGTGAAGGCCCACAAGCAACCGCAAACCAAACCAATAAAGGGGCACTATTATCATTACAACACGGTGTTGCCGTTATATAATTGGTGGTTTGGTAGTTATAAGAATGGTATTTATAAACTTTTTTATAGAAAAGGCAAAGAGCTAATAAAAGCATAGCTGCTACAAAGAAGGAGAAGATACCTCTATGATTGGTAGCCCTGTACCCATTGATAAGTTAGGCAATCTTAATTGACCAATCAACGGATGGTTTTCAATTTTACGTAAATTGCGTTCTATTTTTTGTCTTTTGTAAAGAATATTAGAATGTTAAGAAAATATTAAATGTTTAGAAAAAATTTAATGATTTTTATCTACCAATAAAAGTACGAATAAATTAAAGTTAGCCAAAAAAGTTATTTGATGCACCGTCTACGGAAAAAAAATATATCAAGTGAATTGAAAGTGGGTTTCAGAATTTTACAGCAAATAAAGGAAGAAAATAAACGAGTAAAAAAAAATGAACATTAACTCTATTAAAAATAAAGTAAAATCACGCAAATACCACCAATGAAGGTTGGAAAAATAACCAATAACCGAACAAATAAAACACCTGATGGCTTCTATCCAATAAGGATCGAGGTGCATATCCCAAAATATGCGCCCCCACAATAAGTTCAGCAACTTCAGGACTTTCTGGCTTTGAAGAGCGTTACGTTCCGCAACTTTTTTTTCTTTTATATATGAGAAAACTTCGCTCTTATTATTAGTAGTTTTATTAGTTTTTGTTTTCGTTTTTATGAAGTAACTAAAAATGGATTCATTTTCAATATTATTACTAATATTGGTAGTAGTAGCTGTTGTATCAAAATTATTCAGTTGAGAGGTGAACTGCACTTTCTCAACTCCGCTAGAATGTTGATTATCAGAAATTCCTTCAATTTCAGTAATTTTTAAGTAGAGCGAATGAATGTAGTCGTTATACTGATTGGTGGAATCATCAAAGGGCCCATGTGATTCGTCTACCCAAAAAGTTGCTG